TTTATATAATTTCTTAAAAATTAGCAAAACAAGGCACCAAAGACAGAGAGACTAACAGTGACTACATATGCACATGTGCACATCTACATGTTCTTGTGCATTACTTACACATAAAATGTTTTGAAAAATGCATTCTATAAATTATACTAAACTTCAGTTAAAAATGTAGGAACGTCATAGCTTGGTATTAGAAGTAATTTCCTAATATGAAATACAGTGAATTCACCAATAAAGTTGAATGCAACTGTCACTTCCTGACTCTTAGTTGTAATTGCATAAGACTCACTGCCAAGCAATACAATTTATTCCTGAGCCAAGTATTCTTTCACAAAAGCAATAAAATCAACTTCCCTGTGTTAAAGCAGTTTCTACCAGGAGGCAGGAAGTTACAGCTGTGTTAAACATTTATCAGTTTATGCATTGTCTAAATACATCAAAGTCCACCAATGGACCACATTCTAAGCTCGCTGAATTCAATCTGCATCAGGACCAACCCTAATAAATTACCACGTGTCTAGTCTGTCTACTGTGTTTGCTGGGTCAACACACAATACACTAATTTCCATTTTGGTCCAAATGTTTCAATTTTCACACTTGTTTAAAGAATGCAAGTTGAAGTAGTAATAAACCCTTTTACCAGACAAAAATTGAGGCACTAACAAACCATACAGTAGTAGCTTAACTGGTTTCAATACTTAAAAAATACCTGGAGGGTATATCAGTGCTTAAAAAGTTATAAAATGAAAATAATAATACCCATTCCCTGCACGCCTATTTAACCATCTGCTGTCCTGTATTCACATCCCAAGTTGACCAGCATGTACATTAACTTTTATAATAACAAAGAGCAAATATTTACTATACTTCTCCACACCTGTCCCAATATCTCTCTATGACTGTATGTAGTTTTTGATGCACTCTGCTAAGCAAACACCATGGTAGACAGCTAACCAAACATTACACTGAGATAGCAATATGCTGTAAGTTGTTTTAAAGAAAATTTAAAAGGTGCATAACTTTCTAGCCAAAGCAAATATTCGTTTCATTTATGAAAGATTAACTATACTGCCTTGTGATTGCTGAATAGTTACAACTGTTAAAGGATCAATGGAAATACACATTTATTATTTGAATATAATTCAAATTAAGTACCTTATATGGAGGTCAAAAGATACAAAACCACAGAAAACATCAGGGTACTATCTCTTTGCTCAATCAGATGGCTTTCATCAACAGGAAAACCCACAAGAACAATTATAAGTACAAATAAAACGTGGTGGATTCCAAAGTGTATCTTACCTGGAAAAGGTTATGTAGCTTTCCTTCTTTTACCAGAAGTTGGAAGCCTTTCTCATGTTGAACCAACTGTCCATACAAATGTGGTGGGATGAAGACATCTCGTACATAATGTTTTGCACCAGTGACGCGACGACTGTACCGACCATCCTCACCACACTGATGTAGTGTTAATGAGTCATGTATATCTCCCTCCACTAGACGGACATACCTGCAAAATTACAGAACTACAGTTATAGGTAAATAGTCAGTAATCTGTAAGAAAACAAACAAACACCAATTCAAAATGAAACTTTAATGCAAAACTAAAGGAAACACGAGCATCAAATTTAAAATCTGAGATTTGAGGTTCTCACAGCAATAAAAGCGTCAAACGTGACTGTCACAGTCCAGAAGATCAAAATTGACAGCCAATTTACATCTGATATACAAAACTTGGTATTTATCAAAATTTAAAAAACCAGTGTAGTAACTACGATCAGGAAGCCAAAGTTCACAGCGGACTGTAGAGCTTGAGAGGAAGAAGAAGTGAATAAGATATAAGATGTTTAAGTTTTGAATCAACATTGCAGTCAAAAGTAAACTTCATGAAGCCTGTACCAATGCTTCAAGCCCATCTGACATACAGAGTACAACAGGCCTTCCACACCACAAGTTGCCATCCAACATAATTGGTACATTCATAGTAATGCAAACTTTTAGCCCAATTTTCAGAGCTAAATTTTTAGTAAATTTATAACGTGTTGGTATGTGCTAAAGGACAAAATCAATATATGGATCAATATTTATTGATGTACAATGTGTTCTGTAACTCACCTCTAGTTCTAATGACAAAGTTATCTGATCCTACCTCAAGAGCACTGCAGTATGATAGATTCATAGTTCTCACTACAACAGAGATTTCAAATTCAGATCATGTAAAAGCTTCAGAATGCTATGTTCCTCAATCAACTATGAACAACAGAAGTAGTAGAATATACATAGGGATACTGCTACTGACACTATATGCCTCTGTTCATGCTGCCAAAATGCAAGTACTTTCCAACTTCCCTGTCAATGACTCGTGTTTGGGCTGTGTCATGGTCAGCATTCATTCTGAGAAATATCATTTCACAATAAAAGAATGCATTCACATTCTCAATGTTAACCCATGTTACTGTCTTGACCCCAGGTGAAATATGCTATACATTTAGTTCTTGTGCTGATACCATGGCATCTACAAACAGAAAAGTATCATACCAAATGAAGATGTGTAACTTATGTTACGATGAAGTGATTCAGATTCAAGTTCTGTCAATTCTGAAATAGATAGTGATAATTTTGTTAATAGTACTACCATGACTGATAAGTTAGTAAATAATAAAGCAGAGGCAGCTAGCACATAGTTTTGTTTGGTAAGATGTCAATTTATGATGGGCAGAAGGATCACCCTAAATAAAAGAATGGAGCACAGTCCTTAAGATGCTAGTTAGTCCAAGAATTCATCACCCATCAAGGAGCCTGAATGTCATCCATTACCTTCTCCACAACAGCCTGCCACGACCCTATCCTCACCTAAATGAGTCCATTCCATATTCTCACACCATATTTCATCTTAATATTATCCTCCCATCTGTGCCCAGCCCTCTCAAATGGTCTCTTCTACCCCTCAGGTTTGCTGACCAAACGTTTGAATGCATTTATCATATCTTCATCCATGCATGCTACATGCGCTACCATCTCATCCAACTTGATCAGACAATTTTCATTTTAATGAAATTTAGTTTTAACAATACAAGGCCTAGTGAAATTATCTGATATAAAATTTCTCTCTGTTACCTATAGTTGTAGTTGCTAGACCATCTATCCAGCTGTGTAGTTACAAAATTTGCATCCTGTAGGAAAGTAAAGCCATTAGGAGTTGACAGGAACCTGATGAGAAGCAGCAAGCCTTTATCCCCAAGATGAAGCAATGATGGCCGCATTGATATAACAGCATCCAAGTACACCTGCAAACAAATACAGTGCATCTTGTTAAATCACACACTCGCATGTGCATATACAAACACATATACATTACACCTTGATTTAATTACTCTGCAAAGACTCAGAGAAAAGTGTAAATCCTAAATGTGAAGATACTTGAGAAGAAACCTTTTCTTCTTGCTAGTGTGTATTCTTCTTTCCTCTTGGTATAAACATTTTCAGGTATTTGAATACATTGTCTATGTATTTTCAGAGTAACAGGCAAGTTTCCAAATCCATATACCTGTACTTACACTACTTAACTGGCTAGAGTACCTGGTACAATCCCCACAACCTATTTCCTTAAAATTAATTTTAATATTTCTTCCTGTTTCTGCCAAGTGGTCTTCTTCTATCATGCATTCAAATATGGAAGTACACGGTACAGTATATCTTCTGTAGAATTCAAAAGATCCTATATTTAAGTTAGGAGGGAAGTATACTATCACTTCATCCATTCAATCATGCTACATATCCTGCCCATCTTAACATATTTGACTTAACCTTTATCACACAGGAAAATGCGATATAAACCCCCATGTGAAAGTGCTGGTGTCCAATCAAAATAGGATATTATTTCATATTATTCTTAGGAGGTGGTGTACATTTTTGATCCGTACTTAACCAACAAGATTTCAATTCTTCTGAGAATGTGTGTTTCATTTGAACTTAACTACTTGCACACATAAAGCACTTGTTAAAAAAGGCAAAATGTTCACCCATGAAAAGAATACACACCACAAGTTCCAAAATATACAGTCAAAATATAATCCTGTAAAGAAAACAACACAAAAAGTAAAAAGCAATAGACTGATTTTTAAAACATATGAAGTAAAAATTTTCACTCATGCTTCTCAAACAAGTAGGAGTTTATAAAACAAGAAACAGCATTAGAAGTTACAAAAACACTTTACAAATCCTGGGAGAGGATACCTTTTCTTCTGTAGCTTCCCCCAAAATTGCTATAGCTGCCAATGACACAGCTTTACTTTGGTCATATAACTGCATCACTAATAATTCTATCCCCCACTTCTGGAAATCTGGCAATCTGGCACGAAGGAGAACCAACAGAAACTGAGTTGCATACAGCCGGGATGACTCTGACGGGGCAGTGAGAACTTCACTCAGGATTACCCTGCAAATAAAATAAACACCTTTCTTAACTAACTGCAAACTAATCTTATTTGCATATCCAACAAAACAGCAGTTGTTCCTAGAGAATATGTCTTCAAATTTCCAAAAAGAAAAAATATGATTATAAGGAGACCATTGTGTGCCTGCCTCTTCCTTCTTAAATAAATTCTTATGCCATCAGTAGTCAATATGATGCCTCGCTAGCCAACCAATTGGCAGTACATAAGCGCATACATTGTGCCTCTCAGAGATTGCAGGATGGATGGATGAATGATTTGTCACAGTGGAATTTAATAATGTCTGTAAGGTGTGATCTGTGGCATACAAATATTAAGTCACTGAAGAACCTGGCAAAAGAATACTTCTATAGGTCGAGAGGCAGTTACATTTAACTTAAACCTATTGCAAGGGAGGGGGGATTTAAATACTACACCATGTGAGAGGTGATTTGGCTGAACTACCAACTTTGCAGCATAAACACAAAGAAGAAGATTCATATGTAAATAAAGCACAGGCTCTTCAGATTCAGGGTAAAGACTCAGGATGGCTAGTATAAAAGGTGCCAGTAGCAAGATAATTTCCTTCATTATGAACAGGGTCTATGACAGACAATTTGGACTTGATGATAAAGTCATACATGAAGTTGTCACAGTCTAACTTATTTTCTCAAAATACATACTCTTACACACACACCTATTCCACAGCAGGCCATCTGGCAAGGTTACAGAAGTCAGTAAATATGAGTATTTTCTAAACTAAAATGTCACTATGCCAGTCTGTTTATCAGAACTAATATTTTTCCTCTGCAGGTTATAATGTTTTAAATGAGAAAATGAACAACATACCTAGGCATACCATCAATGCTATAGTCCAGGCCAGAGACAACAAGTTTCACATAGCAGTCATGGTTAGTTGACACAACTAGATGAAGAAGCCTGAAACCCAAATGTAAACATGTAAATAGAAATTCCATGTGTAGGCTATTCACATTTCTCCTGCCATCTCATAATGTTACTCTAATTGTGAGAGGAAGTAGCAGATTTTATGTCTTGCTCCCATAATTCAATGTTCAGTGTAACAGACTTCTTCCATCACTTACTTATCAGGTATGTAAGCTTCATTTTTATAATTTTTCCTCTAGCGCACATTTTTAGTGAGCGATGAGAGTGTAATATTAACAAGTCATAATAATAATCTGTGGCGTAACAGCCCTACTACAACAAAATATATTATTATTTTCCACTATTCTATTATCTAGGCTAATGGAAGAGGAAAACATGGATAAACCAATCACTTGCAGTTTATCATCACAATCCCAGCAACAGAAATGCCATTAAGCACAAAAGGGATCCTTACCTTCCTCACTAAATTGCTGCACCTCTGGACAATAGTCTTAAAATATGAAAAATGCCACAACACATTGGTAGAAGCATGAAAAGGGAAGGGTTGAAACAATATGAAAGCTCAGTTCACATGTGCTTGCACAAGCAAAAGAAATATAAAATAAAGTATGGATTATCCACACAGTAACCTGCATGCTGTTAAGCAGGAGTACAATGTATTTTAGACTTTGCAGTAATAAGACAAATTCTGTGTTTTGTAATAAATCACACTACTTCACAAGACATTGGTGTTTTCACACCAAGTAAAAAACTGTTCAAACACATTTCTCTCCTATTTTACAGAAATACTGGGACCAAAAGGAGATCCAGCTGTGAGAGTAAAGACTCTAATATAAAACCCCAATTGAAAAAGTCTGAATATACCAATGTTTAAGGATACTTTGAAACTTTTCTACAATCAAAATCCAAACACTAGCATGTACTAAATTAAAAAAAAAGTTTGTGTTCCTCATAATTATAAGAATTTTTAACATAAACATTAATTACCTGCAAGTAATTACAATTTAAAAACCCACATTTATAAAATTACCAGACTATCTTCTCTAGCAAGGAAACTAAAGTTTGTCACTGCCAGCACAAAGGCCCACAAATGGACACAGTCACAAGCCACTTACATCTGATTCACAAATTCACAACTGGGGTTCCTAAGGTTCATTATAATATTATTCTCCTAACTCCTTCCCAGTCTTCCAAATGATAAATTTCCAAGTAAATCTCCACTAAAAGACAACATGCAACATTCCTTGTATACTGCAACATCCTTGACCTAACTTCCATAACAATAATGGATATTCATAAAGCACACATACGAAATAATAATCATCAGTCTACTACTCACTGCTGAAAGATGCCTGCTTTATCCAGCACCCGTAACCCCTTACTACACCTGCAGAGCCGTCCAATGAAGAGAAAATAGTCTTGGCAAACAGAATTTGACATGTGCTGAGGGCTGAATAGACAGTCATGGGCACTCTTACAGGAGGTGATGGCATCGATCTGAACCCACATGTCTGCCAGCAGCTCATTTAACAGTTTCATACCTTCAGCCTAAAAAATAAAGCATAGATGTGCTACTAGATGTAAGAGACCCAAGCCAGCATCAAACATCACGATGTATGCATCAGCTGGCATGCTTACTTCATACCCAGAAAGAACCCACTTCAAATCTTGACGGGACTAGATATCATGACTGAGGATTTCATGATTTTCTTCAGACCCTTTATGCAAAATGATAGAATAAATGGGATCTCTGTTGAATTATGTGCTCATGCTATCAAATACTGAATGTAGAATTTTTCTTAAAATTAGAGGTAATTCTACTTGTCCTACTGCTTCCATTGGGTTTACAAAAACTGAAAAACAGTATGCAAAAAAAATCTTACCACTGTGTGGAATACAAACTAAACTTTATGGCAAAAAGTCAAAGGGGCAAACCAAAAACCAACCACACAATCATATTTTTATTTGTGACATTCCATGTATCTTATTCTGCATTCCTTCTTTCACCCATCTTCATTTAGGTGAGCAATAAAACCTAAAAGAAAGTACTTTCTCTCATCCTCACTATCCCCTCACTTCATGTGGAAATTTCAGCTTTTAATTCTCACCAATTTCAAAATAGATACAGAAAAATCTTGATAACCTGAACGGCTTCGAAAACAAAAATGAAGACTTCAGATTACATGATGTTCCCTGCAGACTTACATGCTGAGCACACAAGTTCATACTAGTGACAGGCATTGCACTGAATTAGTAATAAACATTAGTTCCACAATCAGAAAAATTATAGCTTTTGTTACAAATTTCTTCAAATTCTCATCTCCAACATATGAGTTGATTTCTCTCCATTTTAGAAGCCCTTGTAACTTACATCTTGGAAACAAACTTCTGAACTGTGTAACACATCATTAACGATAAAAGCATCTGCAGTGTTACTGCCACAAAATAATTCACAACTGCATGTTTTGACCAAAAAAAGTGAACCACAGGAAGTATTAAATTTGCTGTGTTCCTTATGAACAACCTGTAACAATTACATGTTTACAAAATGTGTTTATGCAACACTGTGACACACATCTCAACACCTTATAAAAAAATGCAGTGTCGATAATGCTGTCAATGTCATTTATATAAATAATCAGTATTAGTATTAAAACTGTAAAGAGTGTCTTGAATGCACTCAATAAAATCACTACAAAATATTACTATACAGTGAAACCTCTATCCATCGTTCCCGGAACTATCGTTTTCCCGGATGCATCGTCCGTTTTGTTCGGTCCCGAATACATCCCATATAAAATAATGTTACATTTTCCCGCTTCTATCGTTCCTCAAACTATCGTTTTATCGCATCGATCGTTCAAAAATCGTAGTCCCGGCCCACAATTTTCCCGCAATGATCGTTTCTGAGAA